AGAGACAGAGACAGAGACAGAGCCAGAGCCAAAGAGGCAGAGAGAGAGCGCAAAGGTTTGGGTGGGGGTGTTGTGTTGACACCCTGAGACTTCCAGCCTGTCACTGGGATATAAAGCATGCTCCAGGTGCCTGGAATCGAAGGAGGTGGAGCTGAGAAAGTCGTTCTTCTGAGTCATTAGCACAGATCGCCCAACCCAGAGGGGCTGGAAATAGGACTACACCTGCCAGCTTCACTCACCTCCATCCCGAGCACTTTGATTCATGAATAAATGTTCACCTCACAAATGTTTTTATCTTCCCAGTTCCCATAGGGTAGTGGTTATCATGTTTGCCTCACAAATGTTTTTGTCTTAAAAAGAGAAATCCTGAAAATTTAACCGCTTATGCAGTAAACTTCACTGCATTTTCTAATACATCTATTCAAAAGGAGGCCTTGGAATTTTCAGAATGTACCCTGGGTGTGTCAAGAAAAACAAAACAAAACAAAATTAAACAACAGAATTGAGGCTAGGGGAATTGTGCTCATTGCATTAGGAGGACTGCAGGGAGAGGGAGAGATACTCTGTTTAAGCTGGCATGTTTTACATTTGGCATATTTTCAGAATTCTGTGTCTGCAGACTTAAGGAGAAAACTACACATGTAGATCAGAAATTGTAAGCTTAGAAAAACGATCTTTTAAAGAATTCTGTGGTAGGGGCTGGGGATTTAGCTCAGCGGCAAAGCGCCTGCCTGGCAAGCGCAAGGTCGTGAGTTCGGTTCCCGGTACCTGAGAAAAACCAAAAAAGAAAAAACAAACAAACAAACAAAAAAATAAAAAAAAAAAAATAAAGAATTCTGTGGTAACCCTTTTATGAGAGCAGTGTATTGCAGCTATCACAGACCGCTTATTATTTACAAAAGACAAGAAGTATCATTACCGAGAGGTGGGGGAGATACCTCCTTAACTAAAGCTTCCTTCAACTTGCCCGATTATAAGATAAACTTACACCGTCAGAGACACAGTGACATTGCTGCCCACTTCGAGGGACTGGGGGACATCTCACCTGAAGAGAAGGTCTGACTCACTGTGAGGAATCATCCTGAGGAAGCCTGGTGGAAAGATATCAGGCCCAGACACTTACAATATTGGTGTTATTAATTTTAAAATGCTGAGGAGCCAATAAATGTGCTATGTGATCCTTGGCAGAATCCTGAAATAAAAACAAAATTAAAAAATCGACATACAAGGAAGCAACAAGAACAGTTATAAGATATTTTATTATTATAGTAGAGGAAACCGAATTAGGAAAATATATTAGGTAACATATGTGTATCTTTGTTAAAATGTCCCGGATGTTTGAGTGCACGTGGTTATGTAGAAGAACGCTCCCGCTCTTAGGAGATACGAGTGGAAGTATTTTAAGGTGAAGAGACAAAGTGAACGGGAGATAAACTGGGCAAAATGTTAGCAAATTAATTCCGTTAAGAGTTTGTGTGTACTCCCTCTACTATTTTTTTAACTTAATGTGCGTTTGAAAATGTTTCAGATAATGACTTTGGAAAGCATAATTATTAAAATTAAAAATCTATTATGTTTTTAGTACACAGTTCTAGTCAAATAAAAACTACTGGTAGGCCATTTATATAGCTTTACATTCATTGTTTATTCTCAAAACAAATCTTTTCCTTTTTTTACAGACAGCGAGATTGTCCGACATGACAAGAACATTTGACAGTTGTTCTCACAACGGCTTCCTTAACGTCTCCCAAGGATCAGTGGACAGAACCTCGGGGAAGAACTGTACTTCTGAAAATGAAGAACAATTGTTCCCAGACAATTTGGCTTCATTTTGTATATCACCTTCTAATCCTTAGCTCCTGACTTGTACTACTTTTCAAAGCAGCATCCTTTTTTATTTATTTATTTAATTTTTTTTGGTACTGTAGGTTGGTGGTTATCTTCACAAATGTTTTTGTCTTAAAAAGAGAAATCCTGAAAATTTCACCCCGTATGCAGAAAACTTTGCTGCGTTTTCTGATGCATCTATTCAAGAGGAGGCCTTGGCATTTTCAGAATGTACCCTGGGTGTGTCAAGAAAAACAAAACAAAATAAAATTAAACAACAGAATTGAAGCAACGCATGATCTCAGGCTTGCCAGGCAAGCACACACCGCTGACCTCTATCCCCGGCCCAAAAGCAGCATTCTTTAAATAACTTTTTACGTGAACAACACGTATCTTTCTCTTAATGTTTGTTTCAATCCTTGCTCAGAATCTTTGAAAGAATTTTCCTGAAGTCCTTAGCTTCAAGTTGCCTAGTGAGTTGACCTACTAAAATATCAAACAATTCTTTTTCTAGCTTAAACTTTCTGTGGCCTCCCTAATTGATTTCTCAGTGCAGCTCACAGGCACGTAACCTCTGGTGTACACCCTGCAGTTATGAATGTGTTACCCATACAGGCTTCCCTAGGGAGCTGCTCCACCAGTGCTAACGCTAGACCCCAGAATTCTCTGGCCCGAGGATTTGCTGTACAAACCTCAGGCGGTGCAGACAACAGTATAGTTCAGGCTCAGTCAGAAGGCTTCCTTCCTCCTTCTCACTATTTTGTAATTTTTCAATAAACCATGATGTTCTACATTCATTCGTCATTTTCTTCTATTTTTATTACTATACTGGTATGTGTACATATGCTCCTTTGGAGGGGATATTTTTGAGAGAAGTTTCTGATGTAAAACAGAACACTAGTCATTTTCCAAATTTTTCTTCCCTTTTAAAGTGGAGGGCAGATAAGGTAGACAGAAATTAATATGTAGTCAGAGAGAGACTGGGCCCTCGTGGAAGCAAGCATGAAAAATAGAGGCATCACAATTGTGGCTGGAAGCAAATCTGAAAGAGAACCAGGATGGAGATGCAATACCCAGGCTTGCATGTCTGCCCTCCCTAAAGAAACTAACAGCTCAAGACTGTACTGTAATTAGCACCGCCTGACCCAGTGGGGCCACTGGGCATCAGGGCACAGGTCGGTGACCGGGATTTCCCAACCTATTCTGCCCTCTCTAATCTCCCCTCGCCCCAACCAGGCCTTTGTTTTTTCCATATATCCTTGTTATGTGACTCATTTCCTGTTGCATCAATATTAACGAAGGGGTTATCCTTACAATCCTATAAATTGATTGTAGCTTGACACATGTTTACCTACATTGTGATCTTACTCTATAAATTACCCCAATAAAGCCTTCTTTGAGGTCACCCATCCCAGACTCGCCTGGAAATCCAGGAGCTATTCTTCTCCCTATTTGCAATAAGTCTCCTTACTTTCTCCTGTGGTTCATGACTTCATCCCTTGATGTCTGAGACCGTGAACTTGGCACATTTGACATCTAACACGTTGGAAGTCCTATTTTTCCTATATCAGATTTATACTGAAGATGAAATCCATTTTACAACCCAAGGGCATCACACATACCTGAAGGTGAAGTTGAATGGGTGCAGTAAGAGTGAATCTGGATGGACTGGTTGAAACATGAGTTTCAGGACAGAGGCTATGTTGGGGAGGAGAACAAGACAAGTTCAAAGTCAGTGGCAATGTGATCAAAGTGGTCCAGAGCGCAGCAGTGTGGATCTCGCCCATCTCCTCTGGAGCATCCATGAACCTAAGCCTGATTCTTGGCTGTTTTGGTGGGATTTTTTTTCTTTTTTTTGGTACCAGGAATCGAACTCATGACCTCACGCTTGCCAGGCAGGAGCTTGCACCACTGAGTTATATCTGCAGTCCTGATTCTTGAGGGAAAGAATACAATTATAACATGAAACTCATGATTCTATATCTTCATGAATGCTGAGAGCACTTAATCAGTAGCTCAGCAACAGCGAATGGCTGAGACTAAGTGCTGGTCACACTGCCTGCAGCAGCTGTGCTCATGAGGGCAACTACGGCTTCAGGGCTGAGGCTCCAGCAACGATGTGATGGTCAGCCAGCCCATCTAGGATTCTGGTCCAGGCAAAGGCAGGCTTCACTGGGCTTCTAGAAGCTTAGGGAAGAATAGTAGGAAACTCTGTTGTGCAAAGCCTTTATTACTTACAGTTAGTAGATTCACCATCACAGTGAGCCAGAAGAGGAAAAGGGAAGATGAACTTTGTACTTGCCATGTAGTAGTGTGAAAAGCAAATTCCTGGAACATGTCCAATCTCCCTGTGGAAATTCTAAACAATTAATTTAGAGATGATTAGAATGTCTAGAGTTCCTATGTATTGGATTAAGGAAGGAAAACCAGGCAGAGAAATAGTATGATTAGCTTCAACTCTCACTGTGTTATCTCAGATTGAGATATCCATGGGTATAAACATTAAGCTTTCTTTCACCAGAAAATAAATCATATATACAGAGTCAAACAAAAAAAAATGAATACATCAAGAAAAGTAAAATAGTATGATGTTTTTTCAACTGATGGTGTTATGTTTGTATGGTACACCCCTCTGGAGGGTGTCACACAAGACAGAAGATCTGCTACACTGCCAGAGTTTAGACCACAAATGCAAGTGCTTGTGCAGCAATCTCAGTGACCAAGGTTACCCAAGCAGCACTTGGCTGTACTAGTAAATGTCTGGAAGAAAACAGCCAGCACTGTGGGCACCTCTTGTAATTGTAGAGGCCAAAGGTAACTTACATTAATTTCATGATGTCTCAATAAATTTAGGATTAAAGTACTTATACAAGAAGTACTTATACAAGTTTTTCTTCTCCTGAAGGGTTTGTACATTTTGGTGGTTTGTTTGTCTGTCTCTTTCTACATGTATATATATATATGTGTGTGTGTGTGTGTGTGTGTGTGTGTGTGTGTATCACAAACAAGAGGTGTGATGAAAATATACGAATACTTAAATTCATATTTTTGCAGTAAGAGACACATGGTTATTGACCTACTATGGCATAATATTCCCTTTTGCTTCACATACACTTATCCCAACATTCTTGCCATTTTCAGAAGCAGTTCTGGAAGTCCTCTTCCATAACAGTCTTTACGAGGCATGATCAAAAATAGTATGAATACTGTGGTTCAATGACCTCCAAGAGAAAGTCAGGCTGGTAAACATATTTCACTTTATTCAGTAGATCTAGCACCTTCACACTTCTGGCTCTTCCTCAAAGACAAAATGGCCATAAAGGATACATGTTTTGAATGAATTCAGGACTTGGAGGCAGCCATGACCGTGCAGCTAAAGACATTCACAAAAGAGTGAGACAGAGACGGGGCATGGCTTAGACTGGCTGGGAAGAGAGGTGTGGGATTCTGGCCCTCCCTCTCAGGACTCATATGTGGAAGTTCTGAGGAGTTCCCTGCAGAGGTGAACAGCATAGGAGGGTACAGAAGTCACGAAGAGCCTCCTATCATGGCTTTCCTCACAGCCGCCCACCCTGTGTTCTCTGGAGTACACTTTCATTTTGCTCTTTTCTCCTTCACTCAGCCCAAAGTTTCTCCCTCACTCTTCGTTTTTAGTTTTTCAAATAAACTTTGTCACTGTTCATGCTTGTTTCATTTCATTCATTATTCCAAGAAGAGAACCTGGAATCCAACTCCAGAAGAAAAGGCAAGCAGCCTATAACCTGGTCACATTTCTTTGGTGAACCACCTTCAGAAGGGAACTACCGAGTAGCAAGACTTCCGTGACTGCTTCAGAAAGTGACAAAGCAATGGGGAGAGTATATTCAAAGACAGGGAATATTTTGAAGGGAATTAGTGGCAATGTGTCTTTTAATATAATAATTATCTTTAATTTAAACATTGACTATATTTTTTCTATCATAACATATAGATTTTCCCCACCTATAATTTCTACTTAAGTAATGATCAGTTAGAATTTTGTATTACTCTGATGATATTTTTGGAAGTAGAACAAAATAGAATTTAGTTGCCAAATATTTGAGGTCCTGGCAATTTGTGGATAAAATATAAGAAAACAGAACTTATGAAAAGGATCACGTTTATCATGAACTGAATGAATTTGGTTTTCTACACAGTAATCATAGTGTCTCCATGTTATTTATTAATACATTACAGTGAATTGGAAATTGAGATGAACACATACAAAATGTTTGTAGCTAGATAAAGAGCAGACCAGTTGTTACTGAACTATTAAAGATGCATTGGCTCACATTAGGTCATGCAGGTTATATCATCCAAATAGCCATCAGACCACATCAA